TGCGTATTGTATGAGTACTGCAAGATGAAGGCCTCAGCCATCTCGTTTCAACTTCTCTTGACATCATCCTCCAATTTGGCATACCATATGGCTGCTATGCCCGACAGGGTCCGGCCAAATAGAGACAGCTTTTGTAGTCTAGTGAGGCCCATTGGCCTTAGGATGTCTGAAAACAATTGCAGGTGCACCATAGGATCCCCAGATCCGTCAAAACGATCAATTTGTGGCATCTTAAACCGATCTGGCAGCGTCACGGCTGCATCGGTGTATCCATCCTCAATGTCCGGAATGGACTTCACACCTTGAGATTTCTTGAACAGCTTTTCAAGCTTGTTCATTTTTAATGCCATGGGGTCCACCTCGGACTCGAAAGGAGAATCCGGTTGATTGATAGGAGTGGGTGCCTTGGATAGTTGAGGTAGAATCGGGGGCGGAGCCGGCCCCGCTGGGATGTCTGTATCTTCTTGGACATTCCGGGTATTCGGTGTTTCTTCGGGTATCGGAACCCTTAGTGGGGGAGGGACTTGCTGTGAAGCGGATGCTCCAGTTTGCTGCTGCAATCTTACGATTAACTCTGCTTGCTCGTTCATAACTGTGGCCTGTTGTTTGGCGAATTCTACCTGTCGGACAGCATCCTGCTACATCACTTTCATGCTTTCTTGGAGTTGGCGCACCATCTCCTCTAAACTAGCCATACTGTTATGTTCTGGCTGAATTATCGGTATATGCTCCCTTTCTGTGGGTGAAACGGAATCCTGACCCCTACTGTACACAGGTGGGGTAGATAAAGCCCTCTGTACTGACTGTTGAACTGATGCCCTCTGCCCAACTATCCTCCGTCTAGTAACCGGGGGTAGAGAGTGGTGCACTGGTTGTCTGTCTACCAGATCCTCAGATCGATGGAGCCGACGACCTCTAATCCAGAGTGCTTGGGGAATATTTACCGGGTTGGAAGCAATGGTGCTAAACTACCTAGCAAAAAGATAAATAAAGCAATAAATAAACAAACAATCGGACAGCACAACGGCGTAAAATAAACACATACAACGCACAGTTGGGTATTCATAATACACAGTTGGTAAGCCGAACACACTGTTCCTCGATACTGATCACTGTTCCCCAGAATCACTGTTCCCAAAACTGAACCTGATACCCGCAGATAACTGATTCTCATAAACTGATACTGATGCCCTCAGGTCTAATACTCAATCTTGCAAACTGATATGTATGTTCCTTGTAGAGATACATTCTAAAAGTACATAGCAAGTAAAGAGAGCCAAAACACCCCGGTTTCCCTGTCCTATTTTGTCAGGAGCTAGGGTTTTACTATGCACGCAGCAGTTTTCAAACAACCTAACATCGGGTAAGCAGCCTGTCCTAATTTGGAATGGTCACAATGGATCCGAATATGCACTAGGTCGAATGGTCGAAAAGGGTGCCCCGGTAAAATCGGGGTTTGTGTTCCCATACTGTCAGAGCCCATAACCGGTCAGCCTTATGGTCATGCCTTGACAAGACAAGCCTCCGGCAAACCGTTCAGGAATGGCAGATGGCAAACACTGTGTTCCTAGGCGCACCAATGCACATGCAATGCAAAGAAACACATAAATGGAATCAAAATAAGATATCACGAGTTCGAGTCAAGCTCTCTAAATCCCCAGCAGAGTCGCCAGAAACTGTAGACGCGCCCGCAAGAGGCCTTCGTGCTACTACAGTTCGGACTCGATTTTGTTTGCGGTTCTAAGTCTGAACCAAAGAGTCCAAATCCGGCAAATCGTTTTGCAAAGGCCATGTGTCCGTCATCACCAAAGTTGCCTCGGCTCGGGAGCTTGGGGACGATTGGGGATGGTCAGCTATGAGCACCCCCTCTCGCCCGATCCGAAGATCGGCCTCTACTAACCGTGATATCCGATTTTGAAAACGTTATGTGTTCTTATTCCGGTTATTAGCCTAGAATTACTATGTTATGCGCACAGCAAACAAGTATAGACCAAATTGCCTAAATTGGAGCAAAACATAGCATGTTTGTTTTGAAAAATAGTTTGCTACTCGCGAGTAGGCTAAAATGCGGGTTTTGCCACCCTCGAGTGGGCTTTTAGAAAAACATGATTTTGTCACTGTCGGGTGGGTTTAAAACTCAAAGTTTTAATGCATTATCCCAATTTAAGCAATTCGACCTTCATCCATAGGCATTCAAGTAGTTATATCACATAAGCAGCTAGCCTCATGGTAATCGTGCAATTATGTTAACATTCACACGCATGCGAGATGCTAAAGCAAAAATACTTACAATGTACTCCATGCCAAAACAATAAACTAGTTAGCAAACATGCGTGATCCTAGTTCATGTTAAAGTGGCTAATGCAACGCATACAGAATGCAATTAGGATAGGCTCAGCTAATCCTAAAATGGCTTGTAAAGTGTGGCAAGTAGCATGTATTCAAGTTAGATTTGCAATACGATGCAGTTAGCATGATGTGCCGAGCCCAGTGCATGCAATACTGATGAATGATGCACGCATGCATAGCATAAGGTATGCTAAATTAAGCATGTCCTATTACTAACCATCAAAGCAGGTAAATAAAAGGGAAGAAAGACGTGGGGTTGGAAGACATACACACACTCACGCACACTTATTACATAATTGTCCTCACTCAGAGGGTCCAAATAAATATTACAGTCCGAATAATAAACGCATAAATTATTACAGAATTTCTAATTAACTAACAGAATGGATGCAAAAAGAAAAGGTGGCCACAGCCCCCGTCTTGGGATGCGCGAATGATGCATGCTCGAACCCGTCTCGCCCGGAAAGTCCGTACCATACCACTACCGCCTCTGTTGACACTGCCCTGCTTCTCTGAAAATTGCCAAAGTCCTGGAACAGGTCCCTTGAACACTGTGGAACACCATCGGTTGAAGGAAATGTCCACCGGCCATTGCAAATATCCATCGACTGTTTATGAAGTTATCGGCTCAAGAAGGATTGCCGGTCGACACTAAACACTGCCGGTCGGCAGAAACTTCCCTTGAAGAAACTTTGAAGAACAGATGTTCCAGCTACCTTCTACTGATCAAAATCAGTCCAAAACCTCAAGAATCAACCCTCAAAGCCTCTCAATCTCGGAGCAAGGTGTAATGGTGTGTGTATTAGTGCAAAAGTAAGGTAAAAATGCACTTTTGGGCTACCAAACACACACTAAGGGAGGAGAGAGAGGGAAATATGGAGAAAGATGATATACCTAGCAGATATATGTATATAAGCTCTGGTTTTTAGGTTTAAAATTTCCAACCTTTTACAATGAAGGAGGAGGGCTCTATATATAGCCTAAGCAAATGGTTCTTGGCTTCTCCAAGAAGCCAAGTGAAAGGGGCAAAGGGTGCAAAGGAGTCTACGCTTCTTGGAGAAGCTAAAACAGCTGGCCAAGCTTCTCCAAGAAGCTTAGCCAAAGGTTCATCCTTCTAGAAGGAACCAAGGGGTTCAAAGGCTCATACCAGCCAAAACTGCACGGGGAGGAGTGATGGTGCATTCCAGCTGGCACAGCTGGCATGCACCATGCCTCAAGGGTGCAAAGGAGTCATACCGGCCAGCAAAAGATGTCACCGGCAAAATAAAGTGCCAATCGACAGTATACTATGCCGACCGGTCATTGATTTTAAGAAACCATGGCCGGTGGCACCCCTAAACAGCCGGTGATGCTAGGGGAAGGCCGGTGGAATGTGGGGATGGCCAACAAGCCATTCTCCTCCCTTCAAGGCAAAAACACAAGTGTTTGGTGTCAAAGCCAAACACGGAATAGTCAGGTCGAGAGATCCTGAGGCAAGGCGCGCGGCCAAGACTTCTGGGAACTCAAGACGAACACAAACATGGATAATCACCGAGTGTTCAAACGGTGACGTCCAAGTCTTGAGGACGGTCAAAAATGGGGTGTCTCCACTTGCATTTCAAGGTTGTGCTTTTAGAGGTTGTGATGAAAGGCCAAATTCAATCAATCGTGGAAATTTTCTTCAAATAGTGAAATTGCTGGGATCATATAATGATAATGTTGCTAAAGTATTGGATAAAGCTCCGAAAAATGCCTCTTACACATCACCAAAGATTCAAAAAGAAATTTTACATATTTTTTCAACCAAAGTGAAGAACGCAATTCGTGAAGAAATTGGTGATGCGAAGTATTGCATAATTGTTGATGAAGCTCGTGATGAGTCAAAGAAGGAGCAAATGGCTATAGTTTTGAGATTCGTTGACAAAGATGGTTTTGTGAGAGAGCGTTTTTTTGGGCTTATTTATGTCTCTAACACTGTTACATTAACCCTAAAAGATGGAATATATTCTGTATTGTCTCATCACAATTTAGATATTCAGAATATTTGAGGACAAGGATACGATGGTGCAAGCAATATGCGAGGTGAGTGGAAAGGATTACAAGCATTAGTTTTGAATGATTGTCCATATGCTTATTATATTCATTGTTTTGTACATCATTTGCAGTTGGCTTTAGTGGCAACATCGAAAGATGTTATCCCAATTCATAAATTTTTTCCTAAATTGACTTTTGTTGTCAATATTGTTGGTGCCTCATGCAAGCGCAATGATGAATTAAAAGTTGCGCAAGCTGCTGAAATTGAACATATGATTGACATTGATGAACTCGAGACTGGAAAGGGACTTAACCAAATTAGCACTTTACAACGAGTTGGAGATACTCGTTGGAGTTCTCACTTCAAGTCAGTTTCAAGCTTAATAAAAATATTTAGTCCAACATGTGAAGTTCTTCTTAATATCATTAATGAAGGAACAACTTCTGCCCAACGAGGAGATGCAGACTCAGCTTATGAAACATTGACTTCATTTGAATTTGTCTTTATTTTGCATCTCATGAAAGAAATGTTGGAGATCACTGATTTACTTTGTCAAGCTTTGCAATGCCGATCTCAAGACATCTTAAATGCAATGAATCTAGTTTCATCTACCAAGGCACTTCTGCAAAAGTTTAGAAATGACAAATGGGATGCTTTACTAGCCAATGTGCAATCATTTTGCGAGGTACGTAACATAGATGTCCCGAATATGAATGCTCCTTATATTAGAACAAGAGGTCGAGCTCGTGATCATCAAGATGAATTTACAATTGAGCATTATTATCGAGCAGATATTTTTTATGCTGCAATAGATTCTCAACTACAAGAATTAAATGGCCGGTTCAGTGAACATGCAATAGAGTTGCTTAATCTTAGCTCAGCTCTAGATCCTCGAGATGTGTCTGAAACTTTTAGAATCGATGATATTTGTCGATTAGTAGAAAATTTTTATCTACAAGACTTCAAAGATCAAGAGAAAATACAGTTGAGAATGCAACTTCACCATTACGAGCATAATGTAGTTCAGCATGCAGATTACAAAAAATTGTCGACTATTTTTGAATTGTGTCAGTGGTTGGTAAAGACAAACAAATCTACGATCTATCAACGTGTTTATAGAGTGATTACACTTGTTCTTACTCTTCCAGTTTCTACTACAACTACGGAGCGATCATTTTCAGCCATGAAAATTGTCAAAAGTAGACTTCGTAACAAAATGGAAGATGAATTTCTTACAAACTCTTTGCTTGTGTACATTGAAAAGGAAATTGCTGAAAATTTTACCACAGAGTCAATCATTGAAGACTTTCGAGATATGAAAGAACGTCGAGTTCCACTTTAATAGATAATTGAGTTGATTTGTATAAATAATTTTTTAATACATGACTTTGCTTTTATTCATATATTAAATTTAGTAAATATATGATTTTATTTTTTACGTACTAATTTAATATTAAATTTTAGTTTACTTTTTGAATTAAAAAAATAGTAATTTATATCAATTCATATAAAAAAATTTATTTATGTCTTGGCCCCCCGCAAATGAATTCTTGGTTCCATCCCTGATAAGCAGTGAAGAACAGAGACATAGACATAGACATAAACAATGTAATAACCCTCAATCATCCTTAGCCCTTTGATCTCTTAGTTGCTCAAGCTCTTCAATCAACACCGGCAAATTTCTATGAGATGATCCACCTTCTTTAACAGCTTTCAATGCCATCTCTCCCAGCACTTTAGCCTTCTCTGTCATCATTACCGCCGTCCATCACCCTTCTCACGACGGCCTCTATATTCTTTCTCCTCACCACATTCTTTCCAGCATCAATCCACAAGTTCCAACCCTTCTTCTTAGTTTTATCCATGCAAGCATCTGGTATGAACATGCCAAAAGCAGACTGCCCAAGAAAAAAAATACAGAGATTTAACACTCTGAAATCAATTACAATAATTTACTTAATTAGGCA